CCTTGATGGTGTTTTTCCTCCAAACTTATTCAGTTTGCATAAGCCTGTGCTAGTGTCAGGGGCAAGGTGTGTGTTGTGTGTTTTTTGCATCCAAGTATCTTAACAGCTTTTCTGAGCGGGTTAGGGAGATTAGGACCTGGTGGAGGACAGGCCTGGTGCACAGGCATGCAGCCAGTTCACTGGGATACAAACAGCCCGGCTAAGAAGCAAGGCGGGTGTATGGACTTTATCAGGAAAGGATCCGCTTAAGGTCAGAATGAGGCTTTCAGCGCCCAGTGGCTGTGGCTCACTGCACTTCGGATTCGAGTCAGGACTGAGGGAGGCCTGCTGGCCACGGCCTGCCCAACCACCCGCCCGCCCACCGGAGGCTGCCCTGGGCTCTGAGTCGTAGCGCACTCACCCTCTGGTTGCGGCTCTTACTAATGGGGTGAGCTCTGTCCGGGAGTGGACTGCCTGTGTGACGGCCTGTGGCTCTTCCCTGGTGTTGTCTGCCTTAGGAGAGAAAGGTCGCCTTTCTTGGGCTCCCGGCCACCTTAGAAGTATGTGAGCGCATGCGTGCACACACATGTACACACACACATCACACACACACTCTTCTCCCCTGGCTTCCTTTTCCTCCCTGCACCTGTCTGCAATGCTCCTGCTCTGTCCAGGGGATGTGGGTGAGGGGGTGATGAAGGGGGACCCTCTGGGTCCTGTGTCCCCAGCTGGGTCCTGGGTCCCCCTCGTGGCCTGCTGGCCAGCAGCAGGAGGTCATAGGGGGCTCTGGTGACATGGGCACGTCCAGGGCCCTGGGTGGACACGTGTTCTTCCCGCAGGAGAACGAGTGCATGCGGATTAAGATCCTGGGGGACTGCTACTACTGCGTGTCCGGCCTGCCCATCTCCCTGCCCAACCATGCCAAGAACTGTGTGAAGATGGGGCTGGACATGTGTGAAGCCATCAAGTGAGTGCCCATCGGGCCATGTCACCAGCTCCCTGGGCTCTTCTGGGAGGGGTGGTCCGTTCGTGGTAGCCCCACCCC